GGTGGGTGGCACGGATGGGCTTCCTGGTGAGCAGTCTTGGTGGTGGGCGGTGGTCTTTGGCCCCTTGCTAGTGGATGGGCGTTCCTTGGTGGCCTTGCATGGATCTGCATCGGTCGCTGCAGTGGGGCGACACACATGGTGTTCGGTGTGGAGGTCGGGTGGAGGGGTAGGTGGCGTCGATGCTAGGGCTGCCTGTCGTCAGCAGGGGTGTGTGTCGGTCGTGGATGCGTCCACTCCACCTCCTCCCCTTTTCCTCGTCCTTTTGCTTGCGGATGCAGCTCCGACGATGTTCAAATCAGGACATGGGTTGCATTTTCGTCGGGCAAGGGCGTTCCTTTGGATCAAAGCCGATCACTTTGGCTGGTCGTGGGGATGTTTGAATGTAGGACGACGGCCCTGACGGCGGGAGGTGTGGCATTCGTGGGCGGAGCGTGCGTCTCATGTGCGGGCGGGCAGCCATGGCCATGCGGGTGGCTTGGTTGCGGGTGGTTAAAAAAGTTAGGGTGTGACGGAGGGGTGTGAGCGCCGGGGTACATCACTTGCCTAGTGCTTGTACTGATCAATGGTGGCGGCGTCCGTTGACGTCCTATCCTTCCTGAAGGCTCCATCGCGGCATTCCCGCTTCTTTCATCTTGCTTCTAGTGAAAAGTAGATCTACAGGATCGGGCAGTGGCGGCTATCCATGATCGTACCCTTTTGAGAGGCATCGTTTTGGAGTTTTAACTTCATCATTGTCTGTCTCACTTCTCCGTTGTGGATTCTCATGGTGGTGATCTCTGTCGATTTCAAGCAGCCTTCTTCGCATATTTGTAGTTTGCTTGGTAGTCGGTGGGGTGGTGTATCGGTGCCTGGCATCTTTCTATCTTATTTTGAGTGTGTGTTGTGTGCGATGTTGGCGTGTCTTTATATTGATCTACTCGAATGTAATAGATTTTTTTAGGGGATATCCAAACTTTATTCATCAAAGACCACAATGGGTGGGATACAACTCAGATCATGGGGTTGGCCTAACCAGAGGTGGCGCCCCGGACCGAGACTAAGTGAGTATTTGGCTAGTTTATGTGCTTCGACATTAGCAGTACGACCTTCAAACCAAAAATTACACCGAAAAATAGATGCTCTAATATTATTCTCCTCGATGATAGAACCACTCCTTCCTTTGCCTCCACTTGAAATATCAACCACCATTTGCTTGGAGTCAGATGCAATGACGAAGTTGTGGATATTAAGATCTTCCGCGAGCGCCAAAGCCTCTCGGCATGCAATTGCTTCAAGTATTGCTGGATCCTCTAGGCCAACTACCACCAACGCGGAACTGCCTAGGTAATTACCTTGCCCATCCCTGCAAACAGCCGCTGCTGATCCACCCTTCCACGCTCTCACTCCAGCATCTACATGGATCTTGGCAAATCCAGCAGGGGGAGCCTTGGGACGAACCGCCCGTGTCTGCCCCATTGCTGGAGCTTCAGTCCTCGTCGCCGGGCTTCTCATATTAATCATATTGAGTTCATCTATGAAACGCCTGACAAACGAATTAGTTGCTTGAGGCGATTGGAAAATTCCTTCATGAATAGCCTTGCGCCGTGCAGTCCATATCGCCTAGAGTGTGACCGCAAGCAAAACAAATTGATCATGAGCTAGTGACTGCATGAAGGTGAAGAGCCACTGCTTGGCGTTGGGTTCCGTGTTCGATACCAGGCTTTGTGCTAGCTTCTCATCAACTAGTGCCCACACACATCTCGAACTAGTGCATTTTACCAGAGAATGTCTCCATGAGTCAGGAGAACCGCATAATCCGCAATGAGCATTATCAGCCATGTGTAGATGAGCCCTGACGTCCTCCATAGGGAGAGAATGCTTCGATAAGCGCCAGAGGAACATCCTCACTTTTGCCGGAACCTGTGTCCTCCACAGTGTTTTCCATGCTCCCTCCTCGACTGCGGTGTTTGAGGTACCAGCCATACCCTCAAGCCATGCCTCCCGGTGCTATCTTGTTGCTACAAGCATGCGATAAGCAAATTTGATAGTGAAGTTTCCACTTGTTTCAAAATTCCAGCTCCAAAAATCCTGGAGGTTACGAGTGCACACCGGGATCCCCATAATAATGCTTGCATCCATCGGCATAAAAACTTGGTTGACTAGCT